AATAATATGAAAAATCCTGATTTTAGCTGAAACGCAATTTAGAAATTCAGTTAAAAGGGAAATTAGCACACTTAAAGAAAACCTAAAAGTGTGGATCGACTTATTTCTGTGCTTGAGGAATTTTAAAATTTACGGGGTAAAAATCGGAGAGGATCACATCACGCCTACGAATGTTTCGTTACAATTTTGAAATATGTAAATTACCTGACACCAAAATTTGTCAAAAGTTGCCATATTGCTATTATATTTTGTGGGATTTTGGGAAATTGTAAAGTGTTGGTACATTCTTAATTTGTTGGAACCGAAAATGCGAACTTCAAAAATTCAATGTGAAAAAAGCAAAGATGCTTTTTGGAAACTCAAATGTGCCTCGCTAGGGGACAAATTTAACGAAACCCAGTGATAAAAGTGGATATGAACTTAGGACCATTAACTTACAATGCGATGACACCATCGGTCTCTCTCCGTTTTTGACGAAACCTCGATAGTTATGCAACCTTAGACATATAATAGAATACGTGTTTCAGGATTTTTCATAATGCTCAGCTTAAAGGAAATTATAACGGAATCCGTGAGCGAGAACTTCCATTTTGACCGTGACATTTTCTTGCGAGGGAGAAAAATAAAGATTCTCGCTTACGAATACCATCATACATAATTTCGTTTAAGCTTAAAATGCGTGGGCATAGATTGGTTTCCTCCAATTTTGACCCGACCAATTTAGATTGCATACACAAGGAAATAAGAGGACGTAGTTTTGTGCATACCCCGTTTCTGCATGTGAGAAAATTTTTGAAGTCATTTTGAGCCAAATTTGGATTTTTCAAAGTTATGTAAATTTTTAAATTTGGGCCCTATTGCAAAAATGAAAGAACATTTTTTGCAAAGCATGACATTGAGTTTAAGGAAATTCTCAATTTCAAACACTTTAAATTTTTTCGAATTTTCTGATCTGGAGCATATTTTCATACAAATTTCGAACGTTAAAAGTTCTTCGAAAAACAGTTCTTATAATTTTATGGAAGTAATTTTGAGCAAACACGTTCTTTGATTTTTAAAATAGCGTTAAAAATCCAAAATTAACAGCTTTCTCAAAAATCTTGATTTGGCTGAAAATGTATTAAAAACTTGTCACAACCGAAAAACGAACATACCGGAAAACGAAAATTACGGGTTCAGTTATTTTAGTGTGTGAGCAACTTATTTAAAATTGGTTAGATCAAAATCCAAAGAAATCAATTCAGGTCCACGCATTTTAACTTTAAACGGAACTATGATAGAGTTCGTAAGCGGTAAAAATACTGGAAATTCTCGCTCATGGATTCCGTCATAATTGAGTTTAAGCTGAGCATTATAGAAATGCTGAAACACGTGTTTAATTATGTGTCTCAAGTTGTGTAATTATTGTGGTTTCGTCAAAATCGGAGAGACCGCTGGCGTCATCGCATTGTGAGTCAGACTATAAGCTAACTGCTTCAGGCCCAAATGTTTACGATTGTATATTTTTTTCTTACCGCTTGGTTCAATTTTAAAAGCTATTTTCAGCTAAAACGTTGACTTTTCAAAATACTGTATGTTTTTGAATGTGTACCTTTCAAGAAATCAAGAATACGTGTTCTAAGCATTAAATAGAATTGAGTTTTCGGACCGGCATTATCGCCAATTCCAAATGAGTCTGGGAATTTTTTAAACTTTTAAAACGGATAGAAAAGTAATCAATCGAAAAGGGTTTGGGAAACGTTGCGAAGTAAGCGAAAAGTATCATATTCGCATATTTATGCAACTTATACGTATATAATTTTCTCCGTCCCGGCGATATTTTAAAAAATATGGCTGAGTTAAAAGCGCAAGTAAGTAAATTGTCACTATCTATTTTCCCACGGAACTGGGAAAATAGTGTACTCTTAAGGGCCCGGGGGAAGATTTACTTGATTTTATGTTAGCAACAATAATTGCCAGGGCCCCAAGATTATTATCGCTCTGTTAGGTTACGACCACAATTAATTGACACCGTTTCTATGGGATTTATTTTATCACGTTCAAAAGCTTTGAACAAAAGCTTTGGTTTTGTCACTGCTTTTGAAAAAGTTTCCCTCAAGTCCCTCAAGTTTTTGAAAAAAGTTGTTTCTTTTGTTCCATGGATACTCAAAATGCAATTCCTGCCATTAATTTGGCAATTCTAAGCCAATTTGTCCTCACTTTACGACCAAATATCTCCACTGCACAAGAGGGCAGATCGTCAAAAAAAACTCAAGTAAAATCTAAAGATATGATTAACGCATTAAACATAATTTAAAAAATCTGCCCTCTTGTGCATTGCTGAATTTTATCGTCAAAGTTGACGTGATTTCTAAGCAACTTCCCCCAGGCCCTTAATACTCGTAGAATATTATCTACTTCGTTCCAGAATATTCTGTATTCTGGAACCAAAACGATTACATAATATCGAATATATTGAAATTATGAAAGGGCCCGGCACCGAAGCTCATACCAGGCCTGACAATTTCACGGTACGGCTCTGAATATTTTAATTCATTGAATATGCAACATCCGCAATAAATGTACTCTCAAAGTCAACATGTTTGCAGGGTCTGGCAGGCCAGGCGACGATGGTTTACATTTTGGTGTCACCAAACCAGGGCACAAAGTACCCTTGTTTATCATCATTGTTGTTTCGAGTTTTGATTCAATAATCCCTTATTGTTGGGCTGGCTCGTTAATAGGATACCAAATGAAGAGTGAACCATTCGCACATCTGTCGCCTCTAAACTTGCGACATCAAAGAGACACCTAGAACAAATGACAGTAAAAAAAGTGAAACCTCAACATAAGCCAAAAGTTGGGTTGGATGTTCCAATGGGGAAAGAAAGGTGGGTTGCATTGCATTTTAACTTTTGCCAGACACATAATATTACCATCACCCTACTCAAAAAGTTAACAAAAGACTCCGAAATGAAGCTGCAGTATATGAGGCTGTTTTCTCGGGTTAAATGGATGGACAATTGAATTGCATTACGGTTTATATCTGTGGTCGGGTGGGGTATAAAGCACAATAAAAATTGCATCCAAGGACTTTACACGACAACAAATACTACAAGCTGTGAATGGCTTTGGCTTTAAATCAAATTTGAATTGGAGTGGACGGAAGGAAGCATAAAGAACGTGAGGATGTGTCCTTTTTACACCACGTGGAAGAAGAATGAATGAAGAAGATCCATTTCATTTCGGATTTGATTGTTAGATTCGATTCAGTTGGAGAATTGATGTGTATAAATAAATTTTCAATAAATCTTGTTGTCATTTGTTCATGATTCACCAAGTTAAAGAGCAAGAGTCCATTTGAATAATTGGGATTATTTACTACGACTCACAGAACTTAATGGATGATGGTTTGCTGCTTCCTATGAGATAGGAACTAATGTTGCCTTTTTGATTATTAGTATAGATCCGGGTCCGGAATTATGACGAGATGACCATAAAGTGTTATGGTGTCAATGTCAGCTGCATTTTTACAACGGAGGCTCATTATTCACGGAAAAGATGATGATAATGATCATCTTTATCCAGTAAAATCCAGATGTTGGATGTTTGAGAGGAGAGTCAGACCATTCTCTCGATAATCAGTTATGATATGGCCATTACAACGACGGATTGAATTAGTCATGAACCTATATGGCCAACCTGAATGTGCGGCATTATTACATACACGACAGTCTAGAGAAGATTCATTTGCGCAGAGTGGTGGCCAGTTAGAGCTGAATATTGCAGACGAGATGGGATCATGGACTGTCAAATGTCACACAATGACACCTGGTAATGGGGAAAATAACATTTCCAATAATCTGATAATCTTCTGACGGTGGAAATTTTCTAATGTGTCTAACTCTCATTATTCTTTGAGATCCAGACTCTTTGGAGAAAAACTGCGATCTTCAGAAAAATTTTATATTCATCTCGAGATTAAAATTTGACTTGACGTCAAAACTTTGCAACTTATTATATTTAACACAAGTGTCACTCATACATATATGAGAACAACGAATATGTAGCGCTGTTATGTCACAGATCGTTTCATTCACGCCTTTTTGTCATCTGCCAACATAATCCCGTAGGGGTAATTTGGTCAAAATATGTGCAGTTGCATGCATACAGTTTGAGGTAGAGAACAGGACGACCTTTTGTCATAAATTCTAACTTCTGCATCTCTACGTGGTCTGCAGTTGGTGGGTCGCAAGAAGGGTAAAACAGATTGAACCCCGACCGACCCTCCGGATTTTGGACATGTTGTACATACGTAGTAGAAAGTGCTGCATTTCATATTTCAATAGAAGTCAAGTAGCCTTCTTCTCGGGTTGGGATTTTTTTCCTATTTTTGTGTACGGATTTATGTAGAGTGAAATATGTATGTTTGGGGAAGTGGTTCATCTGCATCTGCGGCTTGACGATGGACAAATACCTTTCAAATACATAAGTGGTAAACTTTCCATGAGCTCATCCTTCATCAGGGTCAGCCGGACGAGGAGAGGGTCGACTTATTTGCTTATGTTCCCCCCAATTCATTTCCTGGGCTCATTTCATTCCCAATTGAATGCATGAGCCCCAAAATTACGGAAATGGTCAAGTTCCATGTAGGCATAAAATTTATTGCTGTGTGGTTTGAATGCAAACTTGAGCAAAAAAAAATATTATGAATGACGCAAGTGTTGTTGTTCCGTTGGATTGGTCAGTCAACCTGTTTTGTCCGGCCGGGATGGAAAAAGTGCATAAATAATTAATTAAACATGAGTGTTAAGCAGTATTGTGCAAGTTGAAGCTAAATGCAATTATGGAAACTAATGATTTCTCACTAATTCTCAGTCCTAATTATGCACCACGTCCTCTCTTGTTATGCACCTGCCTTGTAGCACATACGTCTAGAAACTTCTAATTGCAATACAAAGCAAGTTCCTAATTCAATCTTAACTGCTACTGCAACTTATTATTTCTTACTTAAACAGTTGTTCAGAGTGAGACGTCTTCATTAGTCGCTTTGCCTTTGACTTTTACAGATTAGTGTATTCACATAAAGAATTCATAAAGAAAATGCTGCGAAACTTGGTTCTAGTTTGTGTGCTGGTAGGTGTTGTTGTTGCCAAAAACCACATCCAAGATCAAACGATTTACAAAATCTTAAACAAGTCCGACAATGGGGTAAGTTTACGAAAATTGACTGTGATAAACTAGAATTTTCATTAACTTATCTACTTTTTCAAGGCTCTCACGATAACATCCGACAATTCTGGAACTGACGATATGAAAGTCCGAGTTCAATCTTGGAGTGATGCTGCTGGGCAGAAATGGAAATCCAAGCAGCCCTGTAAATTAAATATTTATGATTCAGTACTAAAATGTTATGCAAATATGTGCTAAAAACTAAATATGATTTTTGAAATTAAGTGTTAGCAAAATCGTTCGAATTTAAACCAACATCAAATGACCAAATTCGCCTTGATGCCGATTCTCTGAGCAATGTTTACGCTAGAGTAATTAATTTTGAAGGTTTCTTAAATAAAATTAGCATTGTATAACATGAATATCTTGATTTATATAGATGGTTTCTGGACAAGACACGAAATCCTGGTACGTCAAGGACATGGGTGAAGGTGTATTCCAAATTAAAAATTATGTATCGGGTACATGCATTGCTAGCCAAGGGTGAGTACAATTACATAGTTCTGCTAAATATAATACTTCAACACGTCTTATTTTCCGCCCAGGTTGACAAAACCAGTAAAATTGATGAGTTGCGACAATTCCCCACCCCAGCAATGGACTTTCACCCCACTTTAATTTATTAATCATAAAGAAACCACAAATTCGATACACATTAATAAAATTATTCGAGACTGAACGATGTAAAAAATCCAAAAACTTTCCAAGCGACCAAGTTCCTTTACCAAAACTCGCATTTGACGGCCATCTACCCCAACCAAACGCAGAGATCAACCAACTTACGTAACCGTATAGCGTTCCCTTCCTCCTTTCCATACTTCATGTTGACTCTGCTGCAAATGATGTGTTTTATTACGCTATGCAAAGTCCCTTTGTAATTATTCTCAGCTTTACTACCAATTTTAAAGGCTACTCTTTACACACTTTGGTAATCCAGTTGAGTTAGTAATGGATGGAAATGATATTTCGCACTTGTGGAGGTGTGTGGTGCGTGTGGGTCAAAATGTGTGAACCTGCACGAATAAATGTTCCAGTTCAGTCCAGGCCGCACTTTCTCCGACGGCTACAGACGGCTTGCTTTTAGTTGGCCTAATCAACATTAGTTTTCATTACTGTGTTTCCCTTCGTCGGTCGGTCGGTCGTCTGAGACTTGCAGATTTCTCAGCCAAATGAGCGAGGTGGTTGCTCTGCTCGCATTACTTTCTCAAATAAATTAATCCTTAGATAATGCTCTCATTTTGAGCGTAATCAGACTCCAGGCTGCACGTTCGTTGTATGAAAATGTATTTACAAAGTAGGAAACTTATATTACGGAGAAGCAGACCGGGATCATAAACTATGCTAATTTTGTGCATAATTGCTTGATGGATGATGATGAAATTCTCCACGACTTTGCAAATGCAAAACAACGCTGGCCATGCAAGAAAGCCGTGACCTGCAAGCATAATTATTGTTGCATTATTATCGAGCGAAGTGACAGACGAATAAAAGTAAATGCGCAAAAGTCGACTCGACGCTATGAAAATTTATCGTATTTCCCGTGACCATCAGTTCTTTCATATTTTTCGTATTACGCAACACCCAGCAGGAAATGGAAGAATAGAATAGAACTTCATGAAAATAAAGATAAGGGAAAAACCGTATTCACAACTTCGCCTTTTGTAACAAAGTCTTCAAAAAATCGTGGACCTGAATAGAATAAGTAAGGAAATTGTCTTATTTCTTGAAAAGTGCACATATTGTGTATGGTTATTGGAACATTAAAGTCGTTTGAATACACTTCCAAGCCTTCTACTACCAACTCTTTTCGACTTTGATGTTCCAGACTTATGTTACTTTATGGGTGTGAATGTAGTCTTTTCCGCCTATTTTATGCCTTCCAAGTCTGTACTTCAAAACAAATGTGGAATCATTATGGAAAATTGTATTGCTCGAGAAGGATAATCTAGTCGATGGAATATTTTTTGAAGTAGATCATCCAAGTGTGCTAAATAGGCGTTCATTCTCATATCGCCAGAATTTACATTGATTGACACAGTTCCTTAGTTTTTAATTCGAATTTTATTTTGGTAAATAAAAAATATACAATTTTTGACACAGTTCAGTCCCATTATCAAGGAAGCAGGAGATACATAGAAAGTAGACGGAAAGAAGTTGAGTTAATTAGTAGGAAAGGTAGGTTAGTGAGAAACTTGAAAGTGAAAATTGCACAAAAGAAGTACAGTAAAAACAGAAGAATAATTGAGACTAGAAGAAAATCATTAAGTTCAGTTTTGGCATGGCACCAACGACACCAATTCCCAAGCACGAGTAACAGATAACGACAGTACAAGTTGTGTAAGAAATAGCAAGAATATGCATCAAAATACTGCTTTCTATTTAATATCCGCCATGTCCATAGCCGCCATGGCCGCCGGCGGCGTGACCGTAACCTCCATGACCACCACCACCGGCATGTCCACCTCCATGTCCACCGTCATGACCACCTCCTCCATGATGAGATGGAGTTCGGTGAACCTTGGCGTGGAATCCGGTGTGATCCTGTACCACAGTGCAAAATTGTATTCCGATGTCATAATTAACTTTGAATTTGCGTTGCGTTTAACTTTAAATTCTTACAGCAACATAAGTAACGGTTCTTTTACTGCCGCCCGGCTCGACTAATGAGTACTCTCCTAATTATTGGAAAAACAAAAACATTAAACACAACTTCAACTGAAGGTTCATAATGAACCGTTCATTACCTTTGACAACGCCTCCATCTCGAGACTCGGTTTGATGCTTGACATCTCCAGTCTTATGGTCATTAACGCCATAACTGTAGCTATACTGTTTGAAAAGGCGTAATTAAATTAGCAAATGGTGAATTTTTTTTATTGATAACCTCATCCAGAGGATTCAAACCGTGTATTTACCTTTGGGCTGTGATAGTGATCATGCCCACCGTGCCCACCACCACCACCCCCCGCATAACCACCTCCATGACCTCCATGTGGACCGTGAATGTTCTGGTGTGAATATCCATGCTCGCAAAGAACAGCTGGAAGCACGACGAAAAGAAGGGCGAAAAGAATGGGAGTGGAAACCATTTTCAAAATTTTGGAAATTGGTGATATCACAAACTGAGGAATCGTTCGAATGATGACTTGTCGTTACTTACAAGGCGCTTTTATACCGGTATTATTACCAATATTTTCCCCACCACCAAAGTTATCAATGTGCATATTACGGAATTGTATGTCAATATTAGCAACATAGCGATACGTATGTACCACCAACAATCAAGACTGGCGTCCGGATATATAAATTTAGCCTACACAATCTGCTCTGAGTAGTTTAATCAATTCGTGCGTAATTCAAAAACGCAAAGTAAAACTCATGTACTTTCAGTTTCCTTGATCCTTATTATTATTAGCTTTTATGCAATTTAGCCGCATGATGTTTAACAATTTAACCCAAAATTCAACGATGCATAAAAACCGTGGTGGTTGCAAAAGAATGCATCGTAATGTAATCTGATTCAGAATCGAAGGTCTCCATTGATCCCATTGATTGATTTTTACTGCTAAACATTTGCATAACATTTTTTGGTTTTGATTGATTACGTTACATATCAGTTACATTTTTTGTATAAAACACCCCACATTCCAATCTAAGGTTGACACACTTTTAATGCAGGAGCTGATTCATTTATTTGAACTTTTAGAAAACTTGGGGTAAAAACTGACCGACAAAAAAGTGTACATACTTCGTTGTCGTAAGCATCACTACATATTGCATGGGTTCCTATGTACATAGATACGTACGTATTTGTACTCTGTTCCGCTTGAAAAATTAGTGTGGACTGCATCGAGATCGAGTCAGTTTTTCATAAAATGATTGCCTTACAGTGAGACGACATTGGCTTTGTTATGTAATACCTTGAAGTAATAAAACTGTGGTGGCGAAATGCTTGAAAATAGAATTAGATTACAAGCCAATTCTTTTCAGGTTGCGGCAATTTGTCGGTGTAATGCATAAATAAAACAAATGAAATTAAAAGTGAGTCAGGTACAAGAGCAGGTTGCAATATTTATTAGTGTATTTACATTCGTGTGGTGACGAAAATTTATAAATGTCAATGCAATCTTCAAGTCTCGAATAAAAATATTTTTTATTTGACAAATAATTCCACCTTGCTACACATAAATAATAAATACAGATTTGCAATATACTTCAAATTATTCGAAGCGGTTGTGAATTTGGGAACCAAACCCGGCACGGAAAAAGGAGCGATACCCTCGTGAATATTTTTATTGGATGACAAGATTTGTGTTGAAGATGATGATAATCAAGTGTGAAAAGTCGATGCATATCCAATGAAGTGAGAAATGGTATTCAAAATGTGATCTCTTCTTCCTCCTCCTCCTCCCTTCTCGGAAATTTCCCGTGCGCCATCACTCTTGTGCGTATTGATTGGAATCTTACAGCCAAAATATTCTGCATATATATTCAGAAATCTTACTTATTTTGCCTATAGGTACATTTAATATATGCAGAACGCTTTGGGCTGCCTAATAACTCCTGAATATTTCGCGAATACAGCCAAATTCACACAAAACGCATCATCAAATGAAGTTTTTGTTAACATTTAATTCAGTTCGGAATCACATTGGCCTTCTCTTTCAAAATCAAATCAAGGCGAATCAGTTTTCAACATCTTTTGAGTTGAACCTTCTTCTTCTTATTTTCTCGCCTTTCTCGCGTCTGTCGATTTCTGCACACTTCTTGTTCTTTGGAAGAGGTCGTATCGTATCCATCGTCTGGCTGTGTGAGTGTAAAGTTGAGTTGAATTCAAAGTGCTCTAAATTCTGATGAGGCTTTCTCCTACTCAAATGAAGTCCTTCTTCTCTCTCTCTCCTTTTGGTGTGCAGGCTGCTTTTATTATTAGAGTGAGGAGTTCACAGAGTTTCGGATTTACGAGGGAGATAACAACTCAAGAAACCCTTTCGACTTGATTGGGTGAATATAAAATAACATGAAATAAAATCTGCGAGTTTGAGATGGGATGAAATTGTGATAAAATGGCAGCGATGGAATAAGAGAGGAGGGGATCCTTCTTCACTCACATTCTAGTCTAATCTTCTCCAAGTAATCCTCCTATGTCTGGGTGGATGGATGTGCATCCCGAGCAAAAGTGGGTGTGCATGTGTGAGATGTTATTAGAGTCAAAGAACGGACCTCGTCTCCTTAAATTCACAATCTGGATGTATTATCTGCTGAATTAACAAGATTGCTGGTGCGAATCTTTGACTATTTGGCCTAGTTTCTGACGGGGGATGCATGACTTGAGAGAGTTGGTTGACATTGTCTGGAAAATCGTGTAATCGGATTGCTTTTATATATATATTTCTTGCGAAAACAATCAAAGAAGATCAACAATTTCGTGGCTGGTTGGTACAGAGGACAACCTGAAAAATGTTTTTAGAGCAGAGATACCCTGAAATTGAGACAGATTTGCTGTCTAAGAAGCCCAATGTGCACAAAATGACAATCATATCCTTCAAAATTATCTAGTAAGCCGATCAGCCTACAGTATTGGGTAAATTGGACACAGACGAAGATCGATTTTTTTACCGTCTTATATTACTTTGGCCGGGAGAGAACAAGAAGAAGGCGACCAAAATCCTCCCGTGTCAAGCAAAGTCCCCAATACTAATCCAATAATTCTCTCGTTGTCGGCTTATTTTGATCACAGATTCATTCTTAACACGGTTGACGATGGCGGTGGTGGTGGTGGTGGGGCGAGGGTAATATTCTTTCATTTAGAGTGTGCAATAAATCCTTCCCGTTTACGTAACTAAATAGGTCACAGGGTCGAAGAGTAAATCTTCTAGTGGTTTCTTGGTTTTTCAAATAATTTTTGAAATAATTTTTTGCTCGTACAAACTTTACTTATTAATTTTAGTTGAATAGCATGAAATCCTAATTAATAATTCATCCGTATAAATAGTTTGCTGCAGTTTTTTTCTTAACTTCATCCCTAATGTTATCTTCATCCATGCAACTACGTTCCGTTAGTGCGTCACGGAAAGGGAAATGAAATAAGTCCGGTGTTCTCTACCTTGTGGTCATTTTACGACCTCATACATTAACATTTACTCGTCTTAAGATGTCATCCTCCCTTCCACCAAAAATCGAATGCCAACATTTTACATTTACTTTACAGCCTCTTTCTCGATAAGGTTTAACACAACCAATGACGTGACGTAACCCTCACTCACTTTTTATTTCCTCCCAATTTCGGACACTTGATACACACACACGATGGGCCGCAAGTGTGTAAAGGTGATTTCCCATGAAAAGTTTGTTTATTAGCCAATATCCCGTGTTTTATTGGTCACTTCACCCAGAACTTGTGGATGGGAGGGTGCACGTGTGAAAGTGTTTCTTCCAAAGTGAGACGTTCCACCAAGGTCCAACCCTTTTCACACTCGGGTGCAAAGTAAAAGTCAACTATCGTACATTAGGATAAAATAAGATGTGTGCTTTGTAAATGTTTGCATTCCTGTCGCACTAAAGACTAGTAGTGGAAGAGAAAAAAATGTACTAAAAGCCTCGAGAATATTCAAAGCAACAAATAATTCTGTAGTACAAATATTCATGCCAGTCCACCGCATGCCCCACGCCTATGCTGTCTTCACGAAGAGTCTTCTGATGGAATTCCACCAACCAACTTTCATTGAACGAAATGAAATGTTTCAACTCTTGTGCAAACTCTTCCATATTCTTTTTCCTCCTTTGGCGAAAGGACGGACGGGAAGGAGAAGAACCAAACCCGGACAGAATCCAAATTAGCCTGGGGACCGGAAACAAGTACGCACCGGGGTCGGTAGTAGGTATAAAAAGTTTCATCATTTATTGCGTTACTTTATACTTTGCGTTCTCTCTCTCAACAAGAGAATGCAAGTGACGGAGAGACGAAGGCGAGGAGAATTTTGTAATTCCGAAGAGCATAATAAATACCAAATACGATACGACCTGACATCCCGACATGACACAATATTGGATGTGATATCATCATGAATATGGGCGACGATAAGGCATGATGGGCTGTAATCCAAGTAAGACGATCGGTTCGGGATGGCTTGTTAATGTATTGATGGAACGGTCACAATTAAGATGATTGGGTCAGTCGTGGTAAATACTATTTGTTCAGAATTAGTAGGAGCATATGTTATGTTAGTTAGTGTGCTTGTTTGATCACTTGTCGTTAAATGTGGTACATAGAAAATAGAATGCACGTGGTGTGAATTTAGTGACCGACTGGTTTCATATCGACACCGAGACTACATATTTGTGAAAAACTAACAGATTTCCATTAAGCCGAACCGAACTGCCACTTCCGCTCTCGCCGCACTAAAATCAGCATTAATTGCTCAGCAGGGTCAAATTCTTTCCCACAAGGGAAACTGTTTGCATTAGTCAGTGCGCATATGTACATACGAGTTCCTTCATTATTATGAACCACGACGCTGCCCTTTACTTTCTCACTTGTGGGGCTGACATTTGTTCAAGTGGAAGAGAGCCGAGAAGAGGTAATTTGGAGAAGGGATGAGTTCTTCCATGTAGGAATATTAGTTCCAAGTAACTTTGTCCATATCCGTGTTGCGCTAATTGCAATTTAGTAGTTGTATGGTCCCTCAGCGGCAACTAATTCTGTTCAAGTTCAACATTGCATGCATATGCAGGCTGTAAAATTTTAGTTGTTATTTACTTTTATTAAATAAGTTGGCTAGACTTTTTCCAGGATTTTAGTCAAATTCTCATAATTCGGAAAGTATTCTGAAATGAGACTGAATGAGACTGGATACAAAGCTGTACACGTGTGGGTCATCTTTTATATTACTGCGTATAAACAGAATAGATAGGAAATTCCTACTCTACGAATTGCAATAATGCCTTCATCTCTGACCACGTATTTGTTCTCGCTAATGGGTTTACACAGTTCTACAAATTCACATATTTGTGTTTGCAACATGAGCTAGTGACCAGCAAAACCACACTTGACTAGATATTTTATTATGTATTTGTGTTTTTAGGTTAGTCTGGAATGCAAACGGATTCCTTCTTCGGATCATCTCTAAGCCATCAGTCACGTTAATACCTAAAACCCATAAGGACATCCTTTTCCCCAGTTAACCGAGTTTATTCCGCTGGACGTTCTTCTTCCACGCAGCATGGAAAACATTACATTACGTTTCATTAGTTGCGAGGCGTTGTGACAGTGCGGAAATGAGATGAGACCCGATATCCGACCCGGATCGGAGATGACCCTTCCTCGCCGCAACCTCATATCCTTTCGAACAGATGCATCTCTAATACCACCACCAGCCCAACCTGAAAGTGGTAAATATGTATCAACTCAAGGGACAATTTCCACCCAAACAGTTTAGTTTAAAGCTCTCTTTTCCTCCAGAATGGGATGTGCTGCTAACTAATGCAGCTCGACGTTATAGATAATCTCGTAGGAATTCTGTCCGTGTGTTTGCAAGAAGAATGTTATGCAGACGCAGACGACATCCGATCCTGAATGGCCTTATACATATGTAGTATTTAGGTATTTAGGTAGTTCCATTCCATTGCAGATGTTAAAATATCGGGCGGAATAATTGATGCAAGTGTGTTTTGCAGTGTTTGACCATGGCCACCACGCTCTGACACAAACTAAATACCGCAGCAGCAGGTTAGGATTGGTTGAGAAGCACTTTGTTCCTCCGGAGGGGCTAATGGGCTATTTTCCCAGCTTTGAATTCATGCTCTTTTAATAAGTGCTATCTGCTTTGTTAGCATTTCCAATTTGTTTTTATGTTGTCTTTAAAAGATTTAGAAGCATGAGGAAAGTGTTCGTATAATGAAGTTCTCTAAGTAAAATTTTGATATGCATTAGCGACAAGTGCTAAACGATATAAGTAGGGATTTGAGGCTAAGAAACTACTATTCTCATTCATGATTGTTCGATTTGTCCACAGTCAAAAAATAGGATGGAACAGATGGTCATTTGCTTAACAAAGTTGGAAAATGTGGTCTGGTCGGACGCTGAATTTTTAAATCTTTTCGTCCTCCGGAAGTGTCACGACGTTGACATGTCGTGAGTGCCCAGTCGCCTGCCTGCCTAACTACATGTGAAGACATTTCCTTAAAACGTTCGATTTTACAATCACGTCCACACCACATTCACCAACTTTCTTTCTCGCCCAAGTCAGATGTCATCTTCATGACCCATTTGTACTTCACGACGACTGTTCTACTCTAAATTCATTTCTATTCCAGCCACCCAAATAGCAGCCACCCAATATATTACTCTTGCCGACGGACAACGCCATTTTCATCATGCAGCGGGCGACGACCACTTCCTTAGAAAGTCAACATTCCCACAAAGCAAACCAAGGCAGTCGGTGAAAATTCAGAGTAGCTGCCTGCCTGCCTGCCTGCTACTGGTGGTGGTGACTGGTAGTTTGATCCCCTAACGTTCCGAGCATTGAAGACTTATGTGTCCCTGGGGAATAGTGAAAATGCCACTTTCCAGCTTTCCACCCTTGTACCTTTATTCACTACTACCACATATTTACGATTCCACTGCTATACATACGCTACCCGCACTTCCTCCCAGTGGCCGCGGAACCCGTGGGGACATTAGCATTGTAGGATAGGGGAGGGGCGGGTTTATATAACATGAGGGGATGATGGGGACATCGAATACCCGTGCCGACATTGTCCCCACGCTTCCGCGGCCACTGCTTCCTCCTCCTACTCCTTTTGTGGCAGTCAAGTAGTTCGAGAAGCCAGGAAACCTAAACATAATAATAATGGGTCAAGACTGTTTGCACTAACTCAACAATTTCAGCGAAGAAAGGGCTACTTCGAGCAAGACGTTATTCAAATGTTATTGCAAAGGAGATACGACTCTCCTCCACCATTTCTTTCCAAGATATCCACAATTCTTTATGTATTGCTGCTACGTACTATAAATTAAATAATGATTTTCCCCCAGAAAGGTTGACCCCTCGTGTCACTTCACTACTACGCTTTCCTTTCTTTATTTGTGCCACGGCAGACAGGAAATAAAATTCCATCACCCCCGCGTTAATGTTGATGAATGGGAGAAAGCAAAACCGGAACCGGTCCCTGTTGGGTGCTTCTCTCCGCTCAAAAAAATCATGTCGGGTTTAGATTTCTCTACTCCATAATAAAACGAATAATAGAGACATTTTCGTACAAATAAGACTAGAAAGTCACGAAGCTGGTGGAGGAAACCAAACCACAATAACTAACATGAAATCAAGTGAAAGCAAGCAACCTTCTTCGTCTTCTTCCTTGTTAATTGTGTAGATGAAGCCAACCAAACCAAACCACACCTCCTACATTAAGCCGCAATGTCACGAAGTCACGGCCAGAGACGTGTCTCACCGTTTCCGATTTCCGGTTAGTGCGTGATGAATAGAAGAAGAATACGCACTCTGATGAAAGCAAGTGAGGGTGGTCTGGTCTTTATCTAACGAGAGTGAGTGAATTTTATTTTCCTCCCACTAAAAAAAGTTCAGATTCTCAAAGTTTTAGATGGATTTCTCACTTCATTCGAATCAAACGCAACATTTTTCTCTCGCACATCCGGAATTTGCATCTGTTGAGATGCACCCCACTTGTCGCTGGGGAGTTTTCCAATTCCAATTCCACCCTCACGAATTCTGATCATATGGCCACAAAGTATTCCAAGTCCGCTTTATTCAATTTGAGCTTCAGGCTAAGTTTTTACTTTTCATTTTTTTCGAAAGACTTGAAAGAGAAAGTGGAAGTATGGGTGGGAATCGTTAATACGACACACGCAGATTGTAGGGACACGTATTTACTACATTCTCGAGTAATTTAATTTGCACAGAGACAGGGAAGCCTGGCATAATAATAAATAGTGCTCACATCATCATCATCATCACGATGAGTCCAGAACAGCGAGATAAGAGGGGAAGTTATCGAGCTTGGCAATGCTCTTGAATTTAATGCGATGCGATGCACAGAATGTTAATGATGTATGACGACGATTTCTGGGTCTGGTTTCTAGAGCGTACATACGACTTAACCGGATTTGACCTTGTTCTGTCAAACGACTTGAGATGAGAGGATGCTGCTGTTGAGAGAAATTATTACAAATGTGCATTTATTTTATTTCTCACTCAGGAGGAGAGTACGCCAACCTGATAATGACAGATCTTGATGTCCTTTGGATATATGGTAGTACCCCCTCTGAAAGTAAAAAGTGTGAAGCGGTTTGATGCCATGGCCCAATTTACGCCCGTCACACCCCTTTGAAGGCGCGCCCGATGCCAAACTAGCTGCACTAAAAAATTCGCCAAAAATCCAATTTTGTTCGGATTTTCATAATAGTTACATATTTATGATCCCAAATAGTTGCTTTATCATATCTGATATCAATCTGAACTTTTTTGGAATTTTGAATTTTTTCAAGCCATGCCCTTTTCAGGAAATATTCGAAAATATTGAAAATTTCTGAAAAGTTAATTTTGCAACTGAATATGATAAAGCAACTATTTGGGATCATAAATATGTAACTATTATGAAAATCCGAACAAAATTGGATTTTTGGCGAATTTTTTAGTGCAGCTAGTTTGGCATCGGGCGCGCCTTCAAAGGGGTGTGACGGGCGTAAATTGGGCCATGGCATCAAACCGCTTCACACTTTTTACTTTCAGAGGGGGTACTACCATATATCCAAAGGACATCAAGATCTGTCATTATCAGGTTGGCGTACTCTCCTCCTCAGCTGCAACATATTATGCATGTGTTATTTACGATTACATAATATTGATTTATTTTTACTATTCACAATACGACGTAAATACTACATACACAAAAGCAGTTGTATTACGACGCAACATATCTACTTCCGGAAACAATACGAAAGATACAAAACATAAAATACTGCTACTTTCACTATCAACTTCCAATTTCAATGTTTACATATTCGTGTATATTGACTTCCAATTCAGTTTCATTTACTTTTTTTAGGAACAGTTTTACATAGTGTGTGCAATGTTTGTGTGTGAAATACAACAAGAAAATACGCAAATATGCGAATTTCTCTCGAAAATAATTAATACTATGGTAAGAGAATGCAGAGATAGCAACATGATTGTCTATGCGGACAATTAATTAAGGCGGCGACGGACTCGGCGAAAGTGTGCGAAAACTTTCTTTTGAACTAATATTAACAATAAATAAGTGTAGTTTTAGTAAATAGCAGCAGTAAGAACAGAGCAGTCTGATTTCGTCGAGTCCCCAATAAGCAATAAAGTTTGTTTAGTTTTAGTGAAAGCGAAACTCTCGTTTACAAATGGGACACAAGTTGCTCGCCGCCTTTAAACAAAGCCTGAGACAATTGACGTGGAAAAAGTGATGGCACGGCGTACTTCTCGCGTAGTCGAGGGGGGTCAAACAAATCGCACAAACGTCATCATGACTCTCCAACTCTTCAGGAGACGCCACCCTGAAACTGGAAACTAGTGCGAGTTCCTCTTCCAAATGAGATTTAATCACGAGCGAAGATTTGTACTGGAGCCACACATTGAAGTACAAAGTCACCAGGAAGATCTTGATGGAGTTGATGGAAAGCGGGAGGAGCATCCCTTTTTGCAATGCGTCCGACAGAGGAACCAACAACATGGAAGCGTTCAGAAGGGTGGTCAGACTTTTGATAAGCAGCGTGGAGGCAGGCTTCTCAAGGCCGCAGATTTCATCTTGGAATCGCTTGCTGGGAACGAACACGAGTAAATTTGGCAACGAGTCTTGAATCAGCTTTTCCGTGAGAATGTAATAAGTCAGAGTGATCAGGATGTAGAATCGGGTAGGACAGTAGTGGTCCAAACCTTGCTCCAGACCGAGAACTGCGATGCAAGTTAATAATCAAGTTAGTTGGTTATGAAATCATCATCATACCCCGGACAAATATTTTTTTATCCTACCCTACTCGTGTTGAGCTCAACATGAGTAGGGTAGGATAAAAAAATATTTGTCCGGGGTATGATCATCATCTGTCATTATTGGATGTTGTGTTTTTAGGAGAAAGTTATTTATAGATTTGTGTTTGTATGGATAGTTAGTTAGTAGTTTTGACTGTGATTTATTTTTTTCCTTCTTCTTACCAAGGAGCATGCACACCACGGTTACGATGAATGTGACTGCTTTGATCCACTCGAGGACTATTTTGGTCGTCGACATGGCCAAATGGCGGACTTGACTGGAAGGAGTTAGATTCACGCTCAGATCCCAGTTTTCCTTCTCAATAACCTCCTGCGTATTTTGTAATAATAAAGAAAGTATTGAGTTGATGATTTATCTACAGCTGTCATTATATCGTTTTTTTTTCAAAGCGTACCTTAACATAGGAGAAGCAGTATGCCAAAACATTGTAGAACAGTAAGGAGTACAGGCTGGTAATCTTTTCCCGATTTTGGAGCCCCACGGCACGATCACACACCATGAAGAAAACCATCTACGTCAATGCCAAATATTTTGCATGAGATTCATTTAATCGATGTTTAGTTGACCAGCGAAAACCAACCTGATTGACCATTGTGTAGATATTCATGCCCACAAATGAGATTTCACACTTGTCCAAACTCGTATATATTTTGGAGCTGATGGTTTTCATGTGTGAGAATCCTTTAAGCAACCACTCTGCCAAGAAAAAAAATTATGCATTAAAACCACCCACCATACAAATTATCCGGTAAATGATTGGATGATTTATATGAAAATTTTATCCAAATTGATAGGAAAAATGGAAATTGACTAGAAAAATTTCATATAAAATGGAAACTTTGCGACGAAGAAGAGTCACTCCAGTTCCAGCCGAAGAAAAAAGAGGTGTCTCTCAATCTATAATACCAGATCGTAAAGATACTCTTTTTTTGGGCAAGCAACATCGGAAGCGGAGGCATTTTAATTAATTTTGTAAGAAAATTTTGAAAAGGTAAGTGAAAAAAAAACGTACTTTTTGCCAAGTCGAACATCATGTGTAAAGGGTACTGGTAAATAATGCACGCATACAAGAGTCCAATCCTCCCCAACATTAGTGGAAGTAAGAGAAGCATTACGACTGAAAATAAATTATTGCACATTTTTACATACATATGCAAAATGAACATTTGGAAGTATTGCAAAATTTTGCAATATTGCAAAAAAATCATAATTGTGCGTACGAGTTTCCGGATTTTTCTGAAAATTGCAGTCATAATTGTAGTACGACTTTTTCCCTCTGGGACAGCCCATCAAGTTATAATAGATGCCATGGGGCGATGGCGTCTTTCCCAATTCTGACATGATCAACCCACTTTGGGAGATATGCAGCCCAAATAATTGTTCTTGCTGATAAGTCAGCCTAGCACTACTGGATTTTGCACTAATTTTCGAAGACTTTACACGAGCACGGAATTTAGTTATTAGACCCATTTTTAAGAGATCCACGTATTTATTACGTAACAAAGTTCAACAACACAAAATGTACTTTTCTCTTTCCACTGCGTTAAAGCCACTGCACTCTACTTTAGTTCATTTATAAATATGTATGTACAAAGATTACTCAAAGTTTTTGTATGAAAACTTAACTTACTTGAACGTTTAACGATGCTTGTTTCACTTAAATGGCTCACGAACACAGTATTTAAATGAACTCCTCTCCTGTATGAGTGACTGTGAGGAATAAGTGAAGCGTCGTTTTATATTTATCTAACGGCGTTATTCTTAGGCTGCGTTGGCTGGTTTGGTTTGGTGGCGTGCCGAAGAAGTCGGAGTACATATAACCACGCTTCATCTTCTTCTTCGTTGGAATTAGCAGAACATATAATAAATATTGCTCAATACTAATTCTATTTTGTGTACAGATAAGCAACAAGATGCACCTCCTACGACTTGGTGGACTGAGGATGAGGCGAACCAGCGGCGGAGTTGTTGGGGGCACAGGGGTGTTCACGTCATCTCCCGCATCCGCATTTTCGGATCAACAACAAGCCTTACGAGCCGTGGATGGAGTAAACTTGGCAAAAAAATCGAAAACATCAACATCCTTCTCGTTGACTCATTCCGCCAACAAAATTTTCATCTACGTTGTGGCCATGGTCGTCCTCATCTTTGCCTTCTCGTCATATGCTGACAAGTAAGTTTTAAGGTTTCAACACCACTTTGAACTTTTGGAAACGTCAACTGACTGTCACTTCAATTGGGGGGGAATCTGTAATAATGTGTAGATACGCCTGCCTGCCTGTGGTTTGGTTGGTGGCAGTGCTTGCGACTGACGCGAATAACAACTTGACGCCATGCAATATAAATTGTGTGATGTGAAACAGTCACTCATTTCAAAGTTAAGACGTGGTTAAAACACTTTCAATCACGAAATGTAAATACATGGGTTTCCTTAATTCGGGACGATCAGGTCCTAATTTGTCAACTTGTAAATCATAATGCCGTACGTATGTACATACATCCACAATTGAAATCTGGCAAAACTCCCCAAAATAAGAGCAATGTCCTCACATTTCTCCAGTATACATACAAATATATTTGACATCCTAATGACTTTTGTCAATGTCAATTGCAGTCCTATCCTGCCTGCACACAAAGTTTCTCGACTTTATTATCCTCAGTCAGTGGCTTCTTCTTCATCTTGAGTTGTCTGCCTGCAAATTGCTTTTCCAGTTGGAACAATGCCATTTGCATCGGTCGGTACACCAGCACCAGGATGATAAGAACCTGGCCAATATTATTTGCAACTAAATACCCAACATATCACTTTTTCACTTGCCAAACCTATCCTAACCATATTTTAAAGATTCGTTTGCAAAAAAGGGCAGTCGACATCATTTAATTTTCTTAAATCTTGCCACTCCCGTGACTTTAGAAAACATAAAAAACTATAAAAAACACACCGGGATTTGGACAAGCGTACTTGTTCTTACCCACGTAGCTTTGAGAGGAACCAATCTCATGACTTGTTTTATGGGGGCTCGCCACGTATTGTTTTAGGTCGCTTGGAAAAAAATATTGTCTGAAAGAACAGATGTTGTCTTTTCTTGAGTGTTTGTTTGCCAAATGCAAATTCCATGAAATGGGACGTCAAACGGTACCGTTTCTGTGTTCGAAAGCTCAATGAAGGTTTAGAGCAATAAAACTTGACACATTCGTAGGTACGTAAATTTGTGTAAGAAGCGTTTCTATGAATGAAAGTGGTTTTAATTGATGTCGTCATTGCATATATTTTGTGTTTCTAAAAATGAAAGTATTTACCAGACGTCACAAAAATACGCAAAACTGTTGAGCTAAAATTGTATTAAAATGACACGAGAGCAAGATTATTTAACAACGACAATGCAAATTCCCCATTTTAGGCTTTACATAAACAAATGCGTAAATATCCTTCACCTCCTCCATTAACAAATTCCGTTCTAATTTAACATCTGAATCCAATTTGGTGTTTCTGCAAATCCCCGACACCTAAATCGCAGTCCGACATACAGACAGAAGTATCTAGCTCTTATTTTTTCATGGAGTGCGTGTCTATGCAAAGTCGCATGTCCTCATTTCCTGTTTCATAAAAACAACTTACATCACAAAAAGACACCAAATTGTCCTACTTACATAATTCTATTACGTGTTGATTCAATAGGTATGGCGTGTCTGCGATGCCGAGATGTGCTCCTTGTCCAGGGGGTAAGCAATCAACTGAATTGAATCAATGAATTGCGCAATAATCAACAAATGACATGTATTTATCCAATATTACATAATTGTATTCTTTAAGGCGAATGTCCCGAGCCACCAGCAGGGACTTGCACGTACGGAGTCGTAACTAATTTCTGTGGGAGGAGGATTTGCGCAAAGGTACAAAAATATCAAAGCAAATAATTAAAGATTCCATCGATTGATAATGACATAATTCCAGTATTATGCCAATACCTAAGTGTGTGTAGGAGTCGGTAAAGAGCATAATCAAGCAGTCACACCGGAAGTGATTAGGTTTTTTTCCTTGTATAAGATTTTGCAAAACGTATATCTTTAATTTACTGGATCGTAGCTACTTACTTGTTAGTAGCAGGCAGTGTGTCGCCCCCATCTTTTTGACAACTTACATAACCGTAGGTAGTTAATCACAGTGTTTATTATATTTATCTCTGATCTCAATCTGTCTATGTACAAGTCGCGAACAAGGTTTCTCACGTTCGCAGTTTTACTCAAGAAATAATATCGGGCATGTCTATGACCAAATTCAGGCTATCAGTTTCATCACCCAGTGTATGAAAATCAAAACCAGGTCGTCGCGTGGTACAATTTGGCTGAGTTTCATGTCACTACGACGAAATCTTTAAGCAATCATGAGCATCATGAGGATGAGTCATCTACTTATCCCGTATTTCACTTTGTAACATGTTCCCGTAATGATTTGTTGTTTTTTTCTCTAATAAATGTTGACACTTTTTTTTCAGGGACCCGGCGAGGTGTGTGGGACAGGAATGTTTAAAATGCTTGGGGCTTGCGGGGATGGCATGACCTGCAGCTGCGGACGATGTATCGGGTGTTACATAAATACTATGGAGTGCTTCGATAAAACGTGTACCAAATGATGGTGATCATCATCTTGATTCGATATCTGACTTATCCAACAACACTATTAGTACTTTCAACTATGCTCTGACTATTCACACTATTTTAGTGTAAAAATATTTCTATGCAGAAATATTTCTTCTCATTTTTTGTGATGAAAAACTACTAAATATCTAGATTTATGAGTCTCATTTTTGTTATTTCAAGTTTTAAACATTGGTCTATGCCTTGTAGGCCAATTTTACTGTCCTAATCACCAACCCGTCCTGTCCTGTAAGAATTAGGGGTTTCCTATATTTCTGATATATGTATGTACTCGTCTCTTGCTGTGGTATTCTTTTATCTATTTCCGTAACTTTAATCTCAGATCTGTCTCATCTTTCCATAATTTGTGAAAACATTTACTATACATTCCTGACATTCTAAATACGCTCGACGTACAGATTAACAAGCGTCATAATAAAAGTTATTGAAAAGCTTTTAATGAGTTATGTATGAACAATCAAAGCATTTTCATTATGCATAAAACCACTGTTACTTAATGGTTCAATATCACTAGCAGGTTTATTTTTGGTCGACAATTATCCCATTTTTGATTACCAGCAAATCCAATTTCTAAACGGCTACAAATAAGTGATGAAATATGAGCAATATAATTTCGTGACGAATTATCCTGTCCGACTGCACAAAAAATTAGTACTTCTTCACGCATCATTTTAAACTGCATTTCCTCCTCTCTGCAGAATGCGGAGGGTCCAGAAGGAGAGATATATTGCGCTTAGAAATATCTCTACATTTCATTCCAGGCCACGATCTCCTCGTTTATTCTCTATTTTATGGGAGTCAGTCAGAACCATGAAATTTTTCATGGTGGCTTCCGAATTAAATGGATTGCTAAGATTACTTTTCTTTGAATGTTGAACATAATAAGAGTCAATATTTCTGAAAAGAATTATTTTTCTGTCGTTTTCATGTGTCTAATTTATCAGTGTTAAAATCAACATTAGTTGTGAAAATCTTATTTGTGTATTATTCAAACTTGTTAACTGACGGTTTCCTAAATATTACATTAATTCTCATAAATTACTGCTCTCTTTATCAAGTATTTTGTGCATTTATATTCGTATTTTTAGTGTTACACAGTTAGTCAAAGTTTCCAATTCATCCGTCAGTGCAGATACATAGTTGTGTCCAGATCCTTCTATCTTTTCTATCGTGGCAGTTAAGAAGTTGGGGGCGAAAATTTGTAGAAACTTGGGAATTGAACGGTCCGTCCGTCATTTCCCCCGTCTCTCAAGGGGGAAGAAATCGACAGAGGATAGATTACATTACACACCCATTTATTAGAAAAGATTGCATTTTATGCCCCTACGTGAGTGAGGATGAGTGAAAGCAGTGGATAATACAAATTCTACTTTGTAACATGAGGAACATAAACGGGAAAAATTTCTCATTTGTAGGTTGGTTTTCCTTCCTTCCCCCCGACGTGTAATTCCTGCGAGCAATGAAGAGATTCCAGAAGCAAAACGACTTTACTCCTCGGATTGAATACGAGATTGACAGAGATTATTTTTATTTCATTCACTATTTAGTACAGGTTAGGTTAAAAAGAAATAGTGTTTTTTTCATCTTCCAACAATTTTCATGAAGAGGAGAGGCAAATGAAATTTAATAATCTTTATTAATGATGATGTCCAACCCAATTAAAATGCATGATGAAATGATGATTATTAATATAGACGTTAATTGGTTATAATTTTGTTAATTTTTTAAGGCAAATGTATTTCTTAATTGATTAAATTCCAGGCTCGTTTTCCATCAAATTCAGACCTTGGTAATTGTAAGGATCCTGAAAATAAATTAAAATTTAAAAATTTAACTCTATTTTTATGAAATGTTTTGAAATTGTCTATGTTCATTCTATATACTAATTTTTATATTTGCTATTTAATTTACCCCTTCTTAATTAAAGGATGGCTGAAAATAGTCCCCTTCGCCGCAATGTCAGCAATCTCAATATAGGCAACCCCCAACTTTGAGTCTACTCTCAAATTGTCCTCATCGTAAATTCTGAAGACTAGTCGAGTGTCTTCACTATTCTTTTCCTTTTATATTATATTATATTTAATTGAAAATAATTTCCCGATAATATTCATTCTTAAATAAATCTCCAATTACCACTGGAATTGTGAAGATATCTCCCCACATCGGAGTTCTGGTTGATGCAACAGTTCCACTTCTGGCAATCTCAGTTTCTCCGCCATCCAATCCCTTCTTTTTGTAGATTACAACTTGATTATGCAAAAATCATGTAAATAAAATTGATTACCTCACCTAAGAAAATATTTTCAACATAAATATCTAACCATATGGATCACTATTTCCAGGGATAAATCCGACATCATCTTTCGTAGGAAGGTCGCTAGCTGATAATTTGAATCTCAGGGATTGTGGTCGTGGCGGCGTTGGTGGCGCTGGGGCTCCAGGTACCTTCCCAGGTACAACAGGGATATTAGGAATTGGCTGATCTGATGCGTGAATGATAAGGTAACTAGATAGGAAAAAAAAGTTTACTAAAAACCTTTTTACGAAATTTTACAATGAGTATTTTGTATGGCTGTCTAAATCCAGACCTATAACTTGACATCAAGAAAATAATCTATTTATGCTTTATCTCAAACCAAGTTCGACTGTTGATCTATTGATCTATATTGGTTTGGACTTTCATATTGTCCACAATTTTGAGAAAATATACAAAACAAATATTTTGAATTGCAGTCTTAGCTCAAGTTGAGATTTTTCTGGGTATATATCCAGAATTATGTATATATTTCGATATGTTTAGAGATTCTCATAAGAAGGTACACTCTAAAATTTATATGCGTACAATACGTTGAGGCAAGTTGAGATTTATCGTTTCTATCATATTTAACAGGATTCATCTCATCATTATATTAATTTATTAGTTAATTTCCGTACCCAGAATCAATTTTATCCAGAAGCCCAAAGGCCACCTGACCCTTATCCACGTAATCCGCGAGATTTATCCAAACACTTCCCACGCGGTCATCATCTCTCAAATGATCCTCGTCCCAAACATTGAACCGCAACCACTGCAGAAAATTAATCAATAAATACGAATTTCAAAATAGTACCTAATAATTAAGTATAATTCTCCACCTGATTTTCACGTCGGTTGAAATCCACCTCAATAACTTGTCCCCAATCAGGATTCTCTTTATCTGAGACGGTGTCACTCTTTAAAAGTTTGGCTTCCGTTGCTCCACCATCCGTACTTAAGAAAAGCTCGAAGTAAGGATCTGTCGTGCCAAAGCCATTGTCAAGGTCTTGAAAGTTTCTGCATAAAAAGTGGAATAATTAAATATGTAGTTAAGTTAGATAATTAATTAATTAATTTTACCTGCCAGAAACCTTAAGTCTCAATTTGCCTCCAGCTGCTCCACTAAGGATACTGCTGCTTAAAGGGTATACGGCTGGTGTTGTTGGTCTACTGCATTGTGTCTGGCTTTGGTTGAAAACCTTTAAAATATTAATTACTAATTAAGTAACTAAACTAATTACTATGAGCTATTTTAACAATTTATAGATATGTACGTACCTGAGACAACTCGTTAAGTTTGATTTCTACTCTTTGCGAACTCGCCGTCTGTTTTGTGTCCAATGCTGTAAGCTTTGTTTCCAAAGCTTGAACTTTGGTCTGAATAGCTTGCAAGAGGGCCTTGATTTCTGTAGAATATTGCTGACCCTATAGAAAACATAAAATATTTGAAAATATTCGAAAATTGAAAATATTCAAAAAATTGAAATTTCTAAAATAAATTTATTCGCTTACATTTCCAATGACCATAAAATTCGCAAGAGAAAAAAGGAGGAGAAGCTTACACGACTGCATTTTTCTAGTTATCTAATTTAATTAATTTAATTACTGATGGACTTTTGGAGCCCAGATATTTTTCTCCAGCCGGCTACTTATCGACTGAGAAAAGATAAGACTTTGGGAATTTTGTTTATGCTAAACAGCCCAAAGGTTATGGAATACTTTTCTGAGAAAACAACAATATATATGTAAATTTAGGTTATGTAGGTTACAGGTTATCGGTTATACGTAAAGATTAATTATTATTTATGACTTGGCAAATAAATTTATATACTTACATAACCTACTTAAGACTAGGTTTAGGTCACCCTATTAAACTCGGAGATTTCTGATGTTGTGACTACTGTATTGAACGCACTGCATAATTATTTATCACAAATCTTTAACTAATTTACGTCAATTATGAGTTCATCAATTCCATGAATTTGAATTTTACATTCACAATAATGGAAAACATTTATTTATATAATACGCATATAAAAGCATCAATTTAATAATGTCTTTTGAAAACATGTTTGAAACTAATCAAATTCCAGTAATTCATAGGATATGTTCTAAATTCTATCACTAAAATATTAACATTGCAGGAGTACCATCGTGATTTATTCGAACAAAATCAAGTTAAAACAGTGCCAAGGTGAGAGCCTTCTCTAATTTTTTTTCGTAAAATGGGATGAATTTTGATTTTGAAGAATAATCTAGTACTCTGTGTACATAAATGACCACTGGGGATGAAGATATCTGAAGATTGTATAATACAATTTGTATCCTGTTCCTTCGTGCAGGATGAGTGAAAGCAGTAGATAATACAAATTCTACTTTGGATGTATCTGTAACATGAGGAACATAAACGGGAAAAATTTCTCATTTGTAGGTTTTCTTTCCTTCCCCCGACGTGTAATTCCAGGAGCAAAACGACTTTTCTCCCTCGCCGTCCCCGTATTGAATGCGAGATTGACAGAGATTATTTTTATTTCATTCACCATTTCGAGACACAATGAGATGCAGTATTAACTTGTTGAGGCTAATCGGAGGGATCACATTCCCTTTCAGTCCTAGACAATAGGTTGACTCGTTAAATGCACATATCTATTTATTAGTCGGAGGGACAAATGGCAATTATACGAACAATCAATCCACCCACAACACACAGTCTCAATCTATTCAGTGATAAGAGACCACCAAACAAGTAATTGCCTGCCCCTGTGTTCAGAGTAAAAGTATTCCAAAATTAGTCACCCTAAATAACAAGTCGACTATTTATAACTGTCTCATTCCGAGATTTCATTCCATTCTTTCTCGTCTCGCAGTAAATACTCGGATTTATGGAAATTGAGAATTTTGCCATTCGCCCAATTAGACGAATACATTTGATGAATCTGACTCATTGACGAATATTATGCGTACTTAGTCCATTCCGGAAATTGTTGAAAGGCCAGCACATACTAAAGTGCTTTCATTTAATGAGACCAAATAACTGCCCTTCCTCAGTTATTCGACCCTAACGTGGAATCACACTTGAGTGGATGCCAATTTAAAAATGGGAGATTGCCATCAGAAATATTATGAATGGCTTACTGTGCATTTTATAAAGCGCAATTCCCCACTTGTTCCTCATCCATCCGGGACCACCACCACTGCAATTTAACGGAGTGTGTAGATGCAGCGTGGATATTATTATATTTGAGAAGGGTGAAAGTAAGTAAGTAAAATTGGGAAGGAGGAAGAGAAAAAGCCGACCGTTGGTGAGACCTTATGGTCCAGAAACCAGGGTAATAATTTTCACTCGAGAGGACCAAAATGCCGACTTTGTAATCTTTTGCCGGCATTACGTCATGCTAAATGGTCCACTTGCTTCATATCGATAGCAATCCAGTCCACCGCTCGGAATGTAATATTCTTGTTAAAATATGCTAAAAGTGGTGGTGGGATGCAGTTGGGGAGTAAAAATAAATGTGCTGAGAACAGATTTCCACATTTTGCTTGTTGAACTTGGCATATAATTCACATCGGTTTGAAAACAGGCACAAATCACCTTTTTAACGTCTAAAAGAGCATAATTTATTTCTATAAATACTCAAAATTTGTCTTGTGCAAAGTGTAGCAATTTTTAGAAGTGATATTTAACCAAACTTTTCAGGATATTTAGTGATGGAGTTTTGTAGAATTTTGAAGATCCGTACATATTTTACTACCACAATCCTTGCACATTTAGATACTCGTTTTTCCTGTATTTTTAATACCGCAAAATTCCCAGGTCTCCAGGTAGTCTCAAGTTTCTGTCGAATGCTTCACCAAACTTTCTTCCTCCTAAATACTTCACCGGAAAGATTCTTATATTGTGATTCTCAGACAGATTGAATCCAATTCTTCAGCAACACGCAAAACCCTGAAACTTTTCCCAGCAGTGAGAGGAAGCTCCTCCGGTGTCCATTATTCATACCTTCCACCACTCACCCCAGCTACATAAGCCTAAAAAACAGCACTACCGTCAATGCCGTCAAGAAATGCTCTCAGTAATGGGAAAATGTTCCCTTGAACTTGAACGGCATTCATCCGAAAATTGTGAATAACAGCAACACAACTCATCAATGGGAAGATTTCTATGAGGGAAAAAATGCACCACACACACACACGCATGAAATAATCATTTGCAGGATGCACCAAAGAAATTCCTTCTTCAAGGAAAAGTTCCAATCACGATGTTCGTGATTCACATCAGGACAGGATTCACTTCTCAAAGCACTGCACATTTCTCGGGTATTATTTCATTCAGTTTTCTAGTAACTTGTGTACATGCTTTCTCTCCCCAAATATTTTCATTTGCCAGCAGACACGGACATACAGATACACATAATCTCACCTCAGATTGATAAAAATTTCAGAAATTCATTTGCATGCATTTTTACAAATACTCTTTGCAAACCTTTCCAAAAATTTTAGCCAGTTTTTGATCTACCGAGCAAACGTGTATGATAATAGTATTTATAGCTATTTACACATAACTATAAATGCCATTATCCATATTATCGCTATATCACAGTGTCGATAACATGTAGCGAAAACGAGGCAAAAATTTTTTTATCCTATCTCCACTGAAAATACCCAAGAAATGAGAAAGTGCTTAATTAACAATTTATTTTATACGATCGCCAACATGCGACACGCCAAAGCCATAAATATCGCATGTCCAACTTTCTCTCTTCCTTCCTTAATTCTCTTATGAACGTCTTGATTCGGGTCCAATAAGTCTCCCGGCTCACATTTTACCTTAATATTCCAACCGGGTTTCTTTATCATTAGTGCGGAGTCAGTTCATCATGAAAGGATAAAGTTGTCTTCAGATACTGCAATAATTGTTCAACTTGGCAAAGTGCACTGTTGGAAGAAGAAGCCACCAAGTTTAGCACTTCATTTTTTATAGAAAGCGAAGAGGAGCCGTCATCTTCATAAATTATTTGTGTCCATGTCGGTTTCCTGTTCTTTGTTGGATTTGGATTATATGCAACACACAAGTACTATTTTTATGTAACTTGAGCTTCACACACGGGATTTATATGTATACAAAATTAGATTTTTTACTCCTACCTAGGTGAAAATAAAACATGTCAAAAGAGAAATTTTCACCTGTATGGCCAACCATGACGTAAAAGTGGGTCATGTTAACCTTACTTTTTCATGCCTTCTCGTCTGTCTGGTAGTTATACATTCCGCCTTTGACTCTGCACTCGGCTGGACACTTGGGCCATAAAAACTTTTGTCTTTCAAAGCAGCACCAGCTAAAAAAGTGGGATGAAATAACTCATTCTTGACTTGGCGAATTATACCATTTTGATCCTCATAATCCTCCCTAATAAAACTTCTTGGTCTACATATTTACTTGCTTACATAGTATGCACCATATATAACCGTATTTCATTTTATGATAGTGTTGAAGCATGTTGAAACCTAATTATCGCGAATATAAACTAATTATTCTACCGCGAAGAAGAAAGAACAAATAGAGTAACAAAAGAGTCTGAGAGAAATATTAGCACAAAAATTGTTCTGAATTGCAAACAAAAAATATGATTAATGGAAAATGTACAAAAATGAGTTGAAATCTGTTATTGAATACTTGACCTAAAGTAATTTTATCCAAGGCAGAACCACCACCACCGCTGAAATAACCTCTCAAAACGATACGACAATTCCCAATGATTAATATTGTTAAATGTAAAATGATGTATTTATGAAATTGTTTTATGTATTTTGGTAAATTGTTGAATATGCGTCTAAGATTACCCCGTGACGTGGTGGTGGTTGCCATGGTGACGTCAGGGTGGGATTTTGAGTGCGCGTCGTCCTTTGTTATAACTTATAACTTATAAGTCGTAGTAAGTAAGTAAGTAGGTAGAAGAAATCTACACAGTCGAGTTTTAGTCGTTGTCAAAGTCAGACATTTTGGATTTTTGTCGTCGTGGTAGGAAATCAAGAGTAAGAATTGTTAATTCTTTGTAATTGATGTCCACGATTAATTTGTCAATAGTAAGTCACCAATCAACTCGTGTTAGTGCAGAGCTCTGAATTGTGTTGACAATTAGTAATTTGTTGGAAATAAAATCTAGTTTAAGTAGATAAAATAATCGTATATTCACTCAAGTCACTTTCTTTAATTCCAACGAGCAAAGCACAATTAAATATACGTAAAGACACTATACTCCGGGTAGGTGATAGCTTGGTTTTTACAAATATGATTCAATTAATCTCATTGCAATACTGGAAATATTTTTTTCTACAAAACTAATCCCACAGAAATGAATGGGGTGGCAACTTTTTGGGAGTCAAGTGCAGTTAATGTCTAATTCAATGCGTGGTTGGAGATACAGTTTTTTTTATAGGAAATCGAAAAGGCAAGTAAGTAAATTGCCCTACCGACATTGGCAGTGAATCTGGAAACAGTTCGGCCAAATTAAAGTGGTGGATGGTATACGCACATGGTCATGTGTAAGGCCGGCAGCAGCAGCAGGGCTCGATAAGTATTGGCCTCGACCCGACTTTTTTAGCCATTAGTGAACCCCCCGAAAAAAACGGAGGAACAACAGATGCCGTAATCTTGGTATTATTCACGTTGT